AATAGTAACAAAACAAGATCTTGGTTTGTATTCTATAAGTGACATTTCCAACATACATGCGATGCTGTGATTAAAGAATAAAGCAAGAAGGAAGGTAGCCAAATCAATCAATCAATAGTACATAGGCGCATAGGGGGTATTGAGATTAAAATGAAGCCTATTCATTGAAATAATCCAGGCATAAGATGAAGAAAAAGTTTGTAAAAAAAAAAAACACCTCTTGTACTTGCCATTTGTCACAGGTATCCAAGACAAAGCAGAATGAGAATCTTGTCCGAATGCTCCTTGATGCTGGCGTGGACGTTAATGCTGCAGACTGTGTACGTTTGTATTTTTAGTCACTGTGAAATACGATTCAAAATGGTATTTGTAGGTCGTGTACTTATCATATATTAAGTTGCTTGGTTTATTTTCCTTGACACTTTTGCATTTCTTTTTTTTAATTTTTTTTTTTCCACTGCCAGTTAGGTGATCTTGAGGTTGTTTATATACTGCCACTAAATTCGTGGGAATAACATCTTTATTGAATACAGAACATTAAAAAAAAAGCTGCTCCACCATTTGTTAGAAGTTAAGGAAGATGAAGGCTCTGATAACAAAATTCCTCTTTGGTAGTTAAGAGGCTGGCATCATAATGCCTTCATGGAAACCCGGGCTTGCCACTTTTTACCTGTGTGCATTTTGGCATGTTATAAACTTCCTGGTCGTTCTGTTTCCTTCTCTGTAACATGAGCATACAGATAAGTGACAGGGCTGACTCCTGTAAAGCACTTAGCAGTGTGCCTGAGCGTGGTTCGTGCTCAGTGAACATTAGCAGCTGCTGCTGAAGCCAAGATCCCAATCAGGAAAGAGAGTCCCCACCTGCGAGCTAACGAAAACTAAGGGCAAAGGTCAAGGAAAAATCCAAATGATGGTGAGAGCAGTGAGAGCAACAGGAGCAGCCTCAGCTGACTTCCCCCTAATAATAGGTTTTGCTCTCACCTCTTACAACTGCAGCCTTGAACTCATCTTCCTCCCTTACATGATCAGAAGTGTTTCAAAAAACTATTTGTAAGGAGTTTTATTTGCTTATATTGATTGAATGACATTTTTTATTTCTAGTTCTTTACTGAAAAAGCAGGCCAGTCAAAACTGGATTTAAAAATAACCAATATTCTATTTGTGACCCCTAATTTATATTGTACATATCTATATGTACTACTATTCTAGGTTCTGTGATAGATAAAATGTCTTCATCCCTGTTTACATTAATCATTTGCATATTTTTTGGGTTATATTGGTATTATGTTTAAATGGAGGTAGTTCTCATTCTCTCTCTCTCTCTTTATGTGTATGTGTGAGTGTGTGGAGAGAGAGAGAGAGAGAGAGAGAGAGAGAGAGAGAGAGAAAGAGAGAGAGAAAGTTGATGAAATGTATGCTTTTCCTTTTATTTCAAATATAATTTTTTTATTAATTTGGATGGACTACTACTGTGAATCATCATCTTCTTAGATAACTTTGAAATATATTAAGATGATATTAAAATTAAGTAAAAGGTAATTAAAAATGTTTAAAATTTTGGTTGTAAACAAAATTTCTCTCTAGTTATCTATGCCTGTCTCTATCTCTAGATAAGTATATTCCTATGCATGCTCATACATATATGCACATACATGCACATATTTTACCATTTACATTTATAAAAAAATGACCTGTATATTAAGATCCAATTTCCAACTCCAAGTAATTTAGTGTATTATATCTTTTAGACTTTCTTTATTTCACATGGAAAAATTCAGAGCCAGATCTGTGGGATTTTTTTAAAATAAAAAAACATAGAGGATGATATCTGCAAAGTGGCCCATATGGTGACTCTCAGGAAAGAGATGGTCACATGATCACAATGCTGATGGGCCAGACATACAGAAAATATCTCAAGAAATTTTGGGATATTCAGCATTCGCCTTTTATAAGTTGCATTTTTTTTCAGTTTGAACAGAAAATGAGAAAGGTGAGAAAGGAAGATATTGATGGCTTATTGAACATTAATAATGTACATACTGGGGCAGAAAAGACTTTAAAAACAAGACATACCATTGCACATAGATGTGTGCAGACCGTGTGGCTTAGTTGAATACTAGGAAATGAGCAGAACACTTGCTAAGCTTGCTAAGAAGCCTCCTGCTGCGGTCTGTAGAGTCCAATGGGTGAGCTGCATGTCGGTCCTTTGTGTTTCAGTATGGCTGCACTGCATTGTACTACGCCTGCGAAATGAAAAACCAGACTCTTATCCCCCTGCTCCTAGAAGCCCATGCAGACCCCTCGATAAGAAATAAGGTAAGAAACTGGCCCCAGGGCCTGAAGTTCTCCAGCTCATGATCTATCTTGGGCCTTGTATGGAATTAAGTTAATGGCTGCTGATGTAAACAACAAAATTAATCATCCTATTAAACATTAATCATCCTGTTAAGCATTATCCTATTACTGTTAGATCTGAATAACATTTAAAGACTTTGCCAAGCCTGAGAGTCAATCAGTCTAAACTGTTGGCTGGACTCTTAAGAAACAATCTTTTCTTTTCTCTTCAGAATGGTGAGAGTCCCCTGGATATTGCACGAAGATTGAAATTTTCGCAGATTGAATTAATGCTGAGGAAAGCATCATAACGCTTGTGGCCTCAGATGGAGAAGTAGAAACAGCTAAAGGACTGGATTCCGTCTGCATCTTGGACTATTGGTCTGTGGGCCACTCAACTGGATGCAGCCATTTTATGGTGATGATGATGGTTGTTGCCATGGATACTGTTTTTGAAGAGCTCTGTAGTCATGCTTTTGCTCAACTGACTTCACCATGGCCCCAATCCTTCCAGGGGAAACACTAAAGCTGTTGAATTCTCCACTTCGGTCAAAATGTGATGCTTCAAAACCAGTCTCTCCTGAAGTAGATGACTCGTGTTAACTCGGACAGTGATCTCTCTTCTCAGCTGTGTGCTCTGATGGAGGCTGTTCTGTCCATCTCATGCCCCAGGAGACACTGTTCCTCTCAGGCCCCTCTAAGTAGTAGGAGGGGTGGACGTATGTACATTTATATAGAATGGTGTGTGTATGTGTGTGGGTTTAAAGGTTCACATGTGGATGTTCCTTTGGCAAAACAACTTCAGCAAAAACATTTTCAGTTGTAAGTGGTGGCAGTTTTACACCACCGAAATTGGCAAATGCTAAAATCAAGCCTTTTTTTTTTTTTTTTTTTGAGAACACTGCTAAACATTTTGCTATCAGTTTATAAATAAAGGCTATCTTGATTTTGACCAAGACTATGTAACTATCAAGATGTTTAGCCTGGCTGGCATCGCTCAGCGGTTGATCATCTACCTATGAACCAGGAGGTCACTGTTCAATTCCTGGTTAGGGCACATGCCCAGGTTGCTGGCTCAATCCCCAGAAGGGGCATGGAGAAGGCAGCCAATCAATGATTCTCATCATCCATGCTTCTATCTTTCTCTCCCTCTCCCTTTCTCTCTGAAATCAATAAAAATATATTAAAAAAAAAGATGTTTGTTTAAAAAGATCTTTGATTTGCTTGTGAATGTAAGGCAGCTATTAAACTTGCTAGTTCTCTTTATTTTTATTGATAAAATTTAAAATATTACTATAGTTTATCTAGATAAATTGTTTTAAGAAATAGAGCTGTCAATCAGAGAAAGATAAATAGCACATGTCTAATTCCACTCATTTGTGGAATATAATGAACAACATAAACTGATGAACAAAAATAGAACCAGAGTCATAGAAGTATCGAACAGATTGTCCAAGCTATGAGGGAAGGTGAGGGGTAAGGGGGTAAGAGATCAACCAAAGGACTTGTATGCATGCACATGAGCATAACCCATGGACACAGATGGGGGTTGGGGGTGAGGGCATGTGCTGGGGGAAGAAGGTGGCCGGGGAGAGGTCAATGGGGGAAAAAGGAGACTTAGGTAATACTTTAAACAATAAAGAATTTAAATAAAAAAGAAAGAAATAGAGCTATAGGATTAGGTAGTATCTGGATTAGAGATAGAATCCATATGAGAGATAGAATACCAAAATACCTGCCCAAGTCCTTTGTCAATGAGGCAGAGTGAAAAAAATGTATTTTTTAAAATTATTAAATTTTACAAATGAATGATTTATTAAATCATGAATGTCTTTAGACATAAACTAAGTCACGCAGTATGTGGTAACACATATGTCTAAGAATGAAAGATTTGCCATCCTTGAACAGAACAAAGTTCTAATAAATATCAAATCCAGGCATATTTATTGAACTATGTATAGGGCCTTACGGAACATATTGTGTGAGAAAAGCAGTACTGTGTAGATATGGATCCTAAAGCCTTTGCAGGGGTCCTCAAACTTTTTAAAGTGGGGGCCAGATCACGGTCCCTCAGAGAGCTGGAGGGCCGGACTATATGAACTACTAATTCCTACTGTAACACCTCGGCTGCGCTCACTGCCCAAAAAACCTGGCGGGCTGGATCAGACTCCTCTGCGGGCCGCATGTGGCCCGCGGGCCGTAGTTTGAAGACGCCTGCATCTTAATAAATTATTTAAGATCCATTCACACTGTACTGAGTGTGCAGGTGATTCTAGAATATTTTAAAATCGTGAACTTCACACATCAGTTACCTTTGATAGACACACCAGTATACCTTCAATTCAGAAGTTTTCAAAATTGTGCTATGGGGCCCATTCGGTGTGGTTAGCATCAACTTATGAACCAGGAGATCATGATTCAGTTCCTGGTCAGAACACGTGCCGTGCTTGTAGCTAGATCCCCAGTAAGAGGCAGGCAGGAGGCAGCTGATTAATGACTCTCTCTCATCATTGATGTTCTATCTCTCCTTCCTTCCTTTGTGAAATCAATAAAAAAATATTTTTTTTAAATTGAGCTATTGGTTCCAGAGTTTTGCAAAATTGTACTATTACTCATATACCTTATATCTGTCATATTTTACACTGTGTGAGAAGCAAACAATTTCAAAAAGAAATAACCAAATTTTTTTAATGAGCAGGGAAATTGTCTAACAGTAACTTTGTCAAGATCAAAGGACAAAATACATGACAATTTGTTTTATTATGTTGCTGACATTATAACATTTTCTTCCCAGCGTTTCATTTCTGGAGGCAGAACGCTGGGTCATACATTTCTAATCAAAAGGTCTCTGCAACCCTCAAACAAGCTTGTACTAGAATTTAGGCACTAAAACACACATACGTGCTTTATGCACTGCATAATGCATTTATTAAAAAACTCATAAAAATTCTACAAAAGTATGACATGTGAGACTCAACTATACAACTTGGCCCCTTTGAAGATGCTTAAATATATTTTATCCACACTGTACATTGATTTTTGGGTTTGGGATGTATTTATTTATTTATTGTTAAAGCAGCTTGGCTTTCTGAGGTAGTGTTGTGTTTCTATGGCAATAAGATGAAAATGTCTAATTTGTTTTGTGAAAGCCAACAATGATCCAGAGATTTAAGACCTCTCTCTCTCTCATCCCAATTTTTCGGTTTACTTTATTCCCCAAATATGGCTTATAGAAAAATAAGTATATGTTTTAGGGAAGTTTACCTAAATGACAAAGAGAATGTTTTGATAATTTCTAGCTCTCAAATGAAGCCTGCCCTTCAAGATGACAGACTCTATAATATCGCATGAAACCTGTGTTCAGCCAATGAGCAGTTTAATTAACTAAAAAAAAAAAAAAAAAAAAAAAAAAAGTTAATGTCATTTTTAGTATCAAATACAGGAAACCTGAAGGAATATATAGTAGTAAACTTCCTCCCTCCTCCCCCTCTCCTCTTCCCTTCTACTGATAGGAAAGGTTTTCAAGTCCTGAAATACTTAAAATCCTCTGTTCATGGGCCCCAGCCCCATCGTCTACAAGGTTTTTCCTTTGACTTGTCAGTGTCAAATGCTTCACAGACTGAGTCCACACGTTCCCTGGCAAAGGCTGGCCCACACGTTCCGCGGGAAAGGCCGGTCTCCTCCTCTTGCATCATGTGTATGATTTCATTGTACAGACGCTGAGGAGCATCCAACCCCCAGATGAAGTCTATGTGCGCCCATTCGGGAATGTTCTTATGGTAGATGAGGTTGTTCAGTTCGGAGAGCAGTGTTTTCACATCTTCTGGATTTGAAAGCCAGTCCTGGCCTCCAGTCCACATTGCCGTAGGGACCGTCATGTCTCCAACTTTGTACCTTACAGGAGTTGGCTAGAAAAAGAAGAGTTGTTAGCTGCAGATCACATTTGGACTTCCAAACTCATAATGTACACCCCAAATAAACATTCTAAATATGTGTTGTGATTAAAAAACAAACAAACAAAAAAAGTAAGTACACAGGCATTGGAGCCAAGCAGAGCTGCATTTAGAGTTTCTGTTTCAGCACCTACTTGAAGGTAAGATTACTCAACCTCAGTTTCTTTATCTGTGAAATGGGGATATCTGAAATCACTTACTAGGTTAATGATAAAACATGTACATTGCCTAGCACTTTAAGCATTACTTTTTAAATTGTTTTTCTTAATAACAATAAATATTTTAAGCATAAATTGCCTTTAAAAGATAACTTCACAAATGTTTCATGAGGCCAGAGTTAGAGAAATTCTACAGAGAAAGTTGAGAGAATAGAACCTACTGAGGAGGACTCTGCTCTGGGGCTCACAGGTATTTTCTATGATTATAGAAAGCCCTTAAAGCAGGCCCAGCCCTAGCTGGGTTTAACTCTGTGAATAGAGTGTCAACCTCATGTGGCTCATGAGCCGCAACTTGCCGACCATGAAGATAAGATAATGGAAGTTTGTATAATACCTTTTGATCCCTTTCACCGTTTCCCACCCAACTCATCACCCTGTCTCTGACAAACACAGATAAATGGTCTTTGTAAGATACTATAAAAACAACCTCACTCCTGCCATTTTCATTGGTGATTTTGGGTTTCTTGTCAAAAAAGGATTCTTGTAGTGGTAGCCACCAGAGACCACACTCTTCCCTTCACTAAACCCACTCCGCCTTGCTCCTGCGAAGCCCAGGGCCCCCTTCATGGAAGCAGCTTCTCAAAGAAGTTCTTCTCCATTGTGAAGGCGGCAGGCCTTGTGGCCCTGCTGTGAACGTCCCCATTTTCAAATGGAGACAAACCCCGACTTGTTTTATTTTCCATGCCCACCTCTACAGCAAACTGCCGTTAGACCTTCCTGGTCATGCACTTATAAAGGGTGGTATTGGTTTTCTTACCTGATTGCCTTTCTCTAGATTTTTAGTCTCGCTCCCCCAGTCAAAAGCCCGGAGTTCCCCAGAATTTGCTGCCTAAAAGGGAACAAAAATGTACATGGCATTCAAATGGATCCTGGAAAAGAGTGGGAGGAGGGGTGGAAATGTGCTCCCAAGACTGCAATTGTGGGGGAAGCAGAGAGCAGAGACTGTTCAGTGTTAGGTTAATCTTTAGGGAAGTACAAAGGCAAGAGGAAGACCCTTTCGGGAGAAAACTTATGTACTGCAGACATACTTGGCCACCATGTTATACAACTCCAGGAGGTGCATCCCCAGAGATGCCTACGTGGTTGGTTTCTGTACAACTATGTAGGCTACAAAGGGCAAAGCTCTCCCTGGTGACTGTGACAAGCTGACTGAATTCTTTAGTTTTAATTATAAAATGTTCCTCTCCCATCTCTCTCTCTCTTTCTCTCTTTCCCTCTCTCTCTCTCTCTCTCTCTCTCTCTCTCTCTCTCTCTCTCTCTCTCACACACACACACACACACACACATATGCACACACACACAACTATAACAACTGTACAAGAACAATTTCACTAAACTCTAAGTTGCTACAAAACCATAAAGCAGATAGGGCCAATATTTATGATATATAGTTGCCATCACTACTCTTAAAACTCCCTGCTTGAGTTAAGACACCACCACCCCCCCCTTTTTTTTTTTTAACAAAGTGGTATTTTTAAAACATGAGAATCCAAGGTTAGTTATGTTCTAGCTCTGTCCTTATTCCATCCTTATTTCCACAATCATTCAGGGCCACTCCATAGTGTCATCTCCAATGAGCAATATTATTAGGTTCAGTGCTTCTTCATTGATGAAAGAATCATTCACATGCACGTTGTCCTTGAATCCATTCTGAATGTCTTATTTCAGCTCTGCCTTCTTTAGTTCATGTGACTGGTGATCAAGACTTGCCATCCTATGTTGCAGGTTAGTCTTTCCCTCCTGTGAGGCCTCTTTGGGTAATTAGTTTCTGCCTTACACTTTTGTTACTACTTGACCTGCTGCTGGAGGAGTCTCCAATTATCTTCTCCAGCCTCATTTTGAGGTTGCAAGAGACAGAGAAAGGTCTCAATCTGACATCACAGTTTTAAGGTCCACTAAAGACGTCCGTGGCTAATCCTTCCCTCCCATCTTCTGAAAAGTTTCAATGTTCTAGATTACATTTCATCTCATAACAAATATGAAATAACCCCTGGTTTATCAAAAGGACACTTTTCCCACAGATACTTACTTAGGGAAAACGACAAATTCAACATCATTCCTACCTGGCTCCAGTGCAGGATATTTTGCACAGACGTTCCAGCAGGAGAATGAGCGACGTACACATTTGCTCGGCTCTGTAACAAAGCAGGAGTGGTTTGTGGGACATGGAAAAACTAGTAAGACATGCACTTTGTCAAGATCAAATCTCCAGGTGTCAGACTAAGAAATGGGACCATCTTTAATTATCAGCACTTATCTATGAAACAGTAATATGCACATAAATAAACATGCCATTAAATGTATACCTGAGCACCTATATTTTTCATCTGAGGATGGCTTCTCAGTAGATACCTGAACTTATTTTTTTTTTTAATTTTACTACAGTAATTAAGAATAAAGACTCCAGGACAAGCCTATATTCAAATCCTAGCTCTGCCATTTAATTTTTAGGTGGATATGGGAATAATTTAATCCACTAAATCTCAGGATAGTAATTTTCATAGTGGGAAATTGATAATATCTGATTCAGAGGATTGTTAACCTGGCACAAAATAAATGTTTATTAAATGGTAGCTATTAATCGTATTCTTTTAAACGATGAATAAAAAGACTTCAGGAATTAAAGATGTGTTCTTCCAGCTGCCAGCTGGTAGCCCTCCACTGTGGGGCCTCCTTAAGGCGTTGTCCCAGGTGCAGAGAGCTGTATTGTCCAATGCATCACCCAGTATTGGTGTCATCTGCATTAAATGACTGGCTGATATGGGGGTATGAACACTCAGCTCTCTCACCCCACTTGGGAGAGCTCTGAAGGGTCATCTCATCTTCACAAATCCCTGTAGGATCACCAGAGGTTCCCATTAAGGGTATGTCACAGCTTCCCCCCCCCCCCTTCTTCCATCTACCCAATCCTGTTTCACTCCCTTTTCTAGGTGTTATCCCAAGCACATAACCCAAAATCATTTGACCCACTAATCTTCATCTCAGAGTATGCTTCCTGAGAACCCACACTATGTCACCTTCCAACTAGTAGCACTATCTAAGCCAAACTAAAACTCCCAGACATCTTAATTAAAGAACCAGAAGGAACCAAGTAGAAAAGAAGAGGTAGATACTACATGAAGATTCTCTTTTTTTACTTTTTCTTTTAATCTGCTAATTCGATGCATAAAGCCGCTTTCATATCACTTCTGTGAAGTTTATATCTAGCGATGTCCTTATGTTAAACCTTACCTCAACCCATGTTAAAGCATTTCCTACATATTATTGTATTTGGAGAACACTGAGTTACTAAGATTACATTTCCCTAAGTCTTTGCTGGCAATAGCTCATCTTCAAGGAGTGAGACTAATAACTTCTAGCTTTGCTTTGGGAAACTGAGAGTGTACTAGGTTCTCACTTACCATGTTCATGTTTTTTGTGTTAAAGCCTCCCAGAAGTAAAATGATGTTGCTACAAATCTGATCAATAATCATCTGACCACAAAGGTATATATAAAACTGGCGGAGGAATCTGGTCTGGTACAGGAATTCTTTCCGGCCAAACAATCCCTGTAAAAATAGGAAACAAAATACCCATCATTCCATCATAGTAAAAAGTAAGTATGTCTAATTGAAAAGGATAAATCTTACCTTATTGGGTGGGAAGGCTCTTCTATATAGACAAGAAATTTTCTGAGGAGCCACGTACCTTGATCATCATATCTGGCAGCAACAAAAATTTGGTCCCAGGGCTTCTCGCATGTTTAATAGTAGCTATGGGTGCTAAAGCAAAATAGAGTTTTATTTTCTGAGCCAGCTCTGGCATGGTGGAAAATGCAATAAAGCCTGCAAGAGAAGGAATATGTCAGAGTGGATACTGAATATCCTCGAACTCATAAAATGCATATTTACTTTTGGCAAGATATTTCAGTAATTATTTGTGATTGTGTCTTAACTTTCCCATGAAATTATAAGATTATTGAGGGGGAAATAATGACAGCAGGAAAAACGCCGTTGTGTTCCTTCTGACATCTAGCTTATTTGGTGTCCAGTAGTAGGTTCTCATTGAATTGGTGAATTTAATTATTGAGTATAATAATGTGGACTTAGTGAATTTATATATAATAATCTGGCCACTCAGTATATATCCTATATAATAAAAGGCTAATGTGCAAATCATTCCCTCGACCAGGAGTTCGACTAGCAGACAGGCCAGCCAACTGCCCATGTTCCCTCTCCTGGCCAGGCTGGCCAGATTCCACCCATGCACAAATTCATGCACTGTGCCTCAGTGTGTATATATATATATATATATATATATATATATACTGAGTGGCCAGATTATTATTTATTATGTGTTCAGAGATCATAATAATCTGACCACTCAGTATATATATGTATTTAGAGAGAGAGGGAGAGGTAACTATATGCTAGACACTTTACTTATGATTTTCATGGTTCTTACTTCATTTAATTCAAATCTCTACAGCAGCGG